GATGAATAACTGATATCACGTGGGCATCTTTCGAAACTCTGCTTCTGCCAGTGAAATAATTGTTTGAGATAAAGTTGACAATTTGAGCCACGAGTGAGTCTATGATAAACAAACATTTGTCAGGATCCAGGACCATATAACACAACTAGTAAAATTTTTCTAATAGCTGACCACTCTCTACGCTAAAGGTGTTATCGGCAGGTGGAGCTCTGGACTGTATCCTGTTATAAACATCGACTTAATAAGTGGGGCTTTGATATCTTGTTTATGCGTACCTACGGGTATGTGGACCTGCAGCAGGTGTAATACCAGTTTCGATTATGCAAATGTTGGATCGAAAAAAGAGGAGGAGGAGGAGGAGAAAATAGAGGTAAAGATGAAGAAGTCTGAGATGACCTTATCTGAGTTGTCTTCTGTGACCGGTCAGCAATAGCCAAACCCCGGAATGGTAGACGCCAGATATGAGCTCTACAGTAAAACTCAGAAGCCAAATCGTAGGAATATATTCATTTTCTTAGTTGGCTCAGTGAAACGGCAGGTTTGTTTACTTGTTGCTTTCTAGAATGTTAACACACCGCAAGCTGTTATAAGCATTTCTTCTAGGCAAATCACCAATCATAATGAGATGTCTTCCATTTTTTAAGGACTATACAACGATGATGGGCTCAGTTGCAGCTCTTACCCTCGCCAGCTCGTCTGATAGCTGCCACTACTGTCCTGTGAATATCATCCCCCCTGGGCTATAATGTTGCAAAAGGACTGCAGGACTGGCACTCAAAAAAGACCTTAGACAATCATGAACAGGCACCTAGTGTTATTTGGTGTCGGTTTCAATTTCGACGTTTCGGTTGCAGAATGGGCAGAGAAGATTTTATCACAAGAATTGCAGTTCACTTTCAGTATTTCTAAGGACAAGATAGGCACACGCCTTTAGCACCCTACTGGAAGCACAGTGTCCAATAAATGCATCAATGCACAGGTCAAAACGTGGTCGTTTGCGTTGTGGGAGGACGAAAGCGAACAGCGGTCGGTAAATAGAAGAGAATAAGCATACATAACTACTCATTAATTAAGTGTAGTATAATTAGCTCTTTAATTATTACTAAGGGAGTGGTAGTTCGGCTTATTGGCGATGGCAAATGGCACGAACGAAAGAAAAAAAGTAAACAAACAAAGCAAAAAGAGCAGACAGGGGAAAAAACCTAGGCATTTTTCGCAAACTTTGGACGATTTAATGCGATTTGAGGAATTTTAAGGATAAAAGAGCTATCGTTCATGGGAGAAAAATATTGGCGAGATAGGACCGTTCTGCTGATGAGAATGTGTAGTACATCTCAACAGGAGCCTATCGCAAGCATGAACACAAAGAGGTCCATAGAGGTCACGAGATCATCACCGAAGTGCCGGAGAGGCGAACATGATACATTCTTGCTGTTTGGCCAGTCCGCCGACAAGGTGATGAAGACAGAAGCATTCAACACGAACGTCTATATTCCGTTGTGGGTTGACATACGGAAAAACGTTAAAAGAGGGCGTATACTATTGCCACAAGGTGCGCTAGAGCTCATGGCTGATACGATCGTCGCATTTTGCATAGGTACAAATAAAAAAACACTGTGAAGACCTTCGTCTGAGGGTGATAGTGAGAAAATTATTTATCGAAACAATTTTGAAATAACATTACTGGGGCATAGAGAGTAGTAAGTGGGGAAATGAAATATGCGAAGTCCAGGGAGACTGGAATGACCATTTCCGGCTTGCAAGACTTCATTAGCAAGTCATACCCCATCTCAGGAGTGGCGTCCCCGAGATTCGAATCCACTAACTTTAGCCATTGGGTGCAGTATTTTATCATTGCACCACGGACTCGTTGTTTTTCTGACTTACAAATATGATCAATTAAATGCCGCTCACCGATCTGTTTATGGAACATGCACCTCCCATTGTGCTTTAGGGCTCATTCTGCTTCCCTTACAGGCTATCACATAGTAACTGGCGGTGAATGCTGAAGTGAAAGTGACCGAGTACTATGTTACATGACATTTAAAGGTCCAGGATCGCGTGACCATCTAAGGCCAGTGTTAGTTTATAATGATGTGTTGATACGTATGGCTGTACTGGTCAACTTCCTCGGACGGGGACATAACCAATGTCCGCAGTCCGAGCATTCTATGCCTGAATCACGCTTTTGATCAGTCCTGCCCCAGTCACAAGTCGTTTGAGAGTATGTCCTCCCAAACTAGTGGTATTGGTCAGCTCAAAGAAGTCGCTCGTTGTAAGGCGACAACCCTGACCCCGCAGCATGCAAAATGCCTGTAGTGGTAGCTGTAGCGGGTGGCTGTCTTTCATTCAAGGCAAACAAATCAATATCGCAAAGCCTGCATCGTAAGAGAGGCAGGCAGTCTCGGCCTCGTACTAGGTTGGTTGTGTGTTGTTGGACCCTTCCAAGGGGTTTGCGGTCCTTTGTTGTCCACGGCTTCCAGGCATCAATGGCAATTTTTAACTGTGGTCACACAAACATATCAATGGCCTTTTCAAAGCACAATTCACCAAAAAAAGAGAAGTTGCTTGATTAGACACAAGTTTGCCATTTTGGGATGTTGGCAGTGAGGGCGTCATCAAAACCACCAAATCTATCTGAATATAAATCTCCGTAAGGCGGTGTTTAGACTGCTAGTTTAATTATGTTTCTACCGTAGTTTTGAGATTATATTCTGTCTTAGACAAGCAAACGTTCGTACCTAGAGCATGGATAGGTCTTTTAATACTCTATAATAGAGATGGCTGCTGCACAGGTGGTCAGATTTATTAAGTCTGTCAGTATGAACCCCTGAATACCTATCTTACCTGCAGCTAATTAGTACAATTAATTTTATCTCCCTTAGAGTGGCTAAACTTCTTGATAACTGATTTTCCTCTTAGCTCCTACGCAATCACGTTATGGTGCGAGTTGACGGCGGCTGGGACACACTTAACCACTTTCTGCAAGAACATGATGAATGCAGAAAAGTTACGCCTCAGGGTAAGTTCGGAGAGTTTGGACATTCATGGCCAAACAGTGACGAGACCTCAATAACCTCTTTCTAGTACTACCTAAACAGCCTTTAGACATTCCTTTCCAACTATGCTGGGGGAGGGATATGTAAATTGCGCCTGAAACCGGATTTCTCAATTGGACTTCACTTTATATTCTGGAGGAGACTGAGACAGTTTTACACACAAGCTTGTCCATCCAATTAACATACTCCAGATTTAAAGTCACTTGCAGTATCTGGTGATAGGACATGAACTAAATGGACCCATATCAGAGCTGGCTTTGCGTAAATTCCAGCAGAAATTAAAGTAAGGCATGGGAGTAGTTTCTGGATTAAGGATAAAGTTAGTACAAGAGAATATGCGCACCACAGTTATTCAGCACAAGGCCGTTTCTTCTATATTAGAGGTACTTATTCACTTATCCCCTAAAAAGAGTGTAAGAAAAGCGAGATTTTTCAACACATGTCCTACCCACCTGCATAAGACAGTTTTGGGAGCTTTATGACACCAAGCCATCTAAAAGTAACTCTTGATGTCATTTTCACGTAGGCCTCGGTTTTCAACCTACCGATGGTACCCTTTTTGCATGATCAATTCGCAGAAAGACGGAGGCTATGTCGCTCTACCACGTAAGGCTTTTGATGCGTAATTTGACAGTCAATGTAATAGTTTGTCGCTAACACAAATCAGGAGAATAGCGATGTGGTCGGGTTCCAGGTGTAATCCAGCTGTCCAGTTTACTTACATGAACCCGTTAGGCCCTTTAACCTGAAAGTTTTGTTGGGCAACGGAGAGACCACTATACAAAACTAGTATAAGTTGATATCAGTATTCCCAGCTATCCTCTGTGACTTCTAGAAGACTCGCATTGTGATTGTACTTAAATATTTTTAGAAAGAAATGGGCCCATTTAAATTACAAGTCTCGCATTATTTTTACATTATAGCAGTAAGTAGACCCCATAACACCAACAAAGTTGGCCATGAGCTTTGACTAATTGCATCACTAGTGGACGTTGCTCCGGAAAAGTCATCGTAGTAAAGCTTGACGGGCGGCTTAGTTACCTTACCTTTTCTTTCTGATTTAAGGCTTTGTAAAGAGTCAGTGAAACATATGGCTATTGGTCTTATCGATTTGAACTGACCCACACATAAAGTACCTTTTTAAATTGGCCTATCAACTGCTGGTCGAGGTATGAAGGCAGAACTACATCGAAAACTGTTGCCCTCATAGTCCATCTGATTTTAATTAACCGTTATCGACTCATTCAGGCACACCCAGCTACGGACATATCTTGGTTAAATAACCGGAGGGAAGCTGAAACTCAGTGTTTCCTTCAATTTGAAAGCTCCGAATGATCGCGCTTGTACTTTCTGATGGTTATGTTACAGTCTAGTAAAACTGACAATGTTAGAAGATTATTTTGTTAGTTTTCAACGCTGTGACCGTATCGATGCTGTTTCTCAGAGTAGCTGTTTCGCTTTCTCACCATCAGCAAACGTTACAAGTCAGAGCACTGCCAATTGGACGGCGGGCCCCTTAAAACTTAAACCACCAAAAGAATTCAGGCTCCAGGTGCTGGATCCCGAACCGGACGATCTCGTACCGTCCTCCACGGCTTATGTGGCTGAATTGGGCAAAAAGCGTGAAATCCTTCAAGACGAAGACTCGTTTGAGGTGAGAACATATTAGTATTCTGCTGTTTCTGCTACTCATGTCTCTGATGACGAATCTGCGA